AAGTACAGGTGAAAATATTTTTTAAAAGTTGAGAAAACAGTAATTCAGTAAACCTGACATGGAATCTGCCAAGATGTGTTACAACTGATTGTGGTAAACATTTGTGTGGAACAGAAAAAAAAGGTTAGTTGGACAAATTTACAAGGCTTATGAAAATGTAGGGAGTTTAAAGCGTATATTCATCGTTTTATTTATCAGCAGGCACTTCAGAGAGTATTCGAATCTATCATGTGATATGGAACCAGTAGTGTCAATAGTGAACTTCATTCACTGTTGTGTACTTAACTCTTGTCAGTTGCATAAATTTTTGTCAGGAATAGAAGCTGAGTATCCTTACTTGTCCTACCACAAAACAGTTCAATGGCTTAGCATTTATAAAGTTTTACTGGAATTTTTTTGAGCTCAGGGTTAATATTGAAATTTTTCCAAATGAGAAGAGTTGCTCTCAACCATTGTTACTGAACACTTAGTAGCTTTGGAAATTAGCTTTTGCCATGGACTTGATAATATTTCTTAATGAATTCAGCCTAAAATTACAAGACAAAACGATGCTTATATGTAGAACAGATACTGCAGTAAAGCCATTTGGATGACAACTAATGTTATGTGAATCACAGGTAATGTCAAGCTGACTTATACAACTTTCTGTATTGTCAAAAGTTAAAACAAAGAAGTGAAATCTCCATTCCTATCCAGGGTTTGCAGTAGATAAATCTTCTGAGCTCAAACTACAGTTTCAGCAACATTTTCCAGACTTTGATGCAAGTGAACAGGCAATTTCCATATTACAAAGTCCAGTTAACTGTTCAGTTGAGGCACTTTCGCCTAACTTTCAATTGGAAGTGATTAATCTGCAGTGTAATGACATGTTAAAAGGCAGATACTAAGAGAAGAATAAACTCTTTAAATGCCTTTCAAGCAGCGAATATACTGAATTGAAATCATATGCTTGTGAATTAATATCAGTGTTTGGCAGTAACTAGCTGGTGAAAGGAAACCCTGGTGGCATAGTGGTTAAGAGCTACCAAAAGGTCAGCAGTTCGAATCCACCAGGTGCTCCTTGGAAACTCTATGGGGCAGTTCTGCTCTGTCCTGTAGGGTCGCTATGAGTCAGAATCGACTTGACAGCAATGAGTTTGGGTTTTTTTTTGTTTTTGTTTTTGTTTTTTTTTAGTTATCTGGTGAAAAGTAACTTTTAAAGATGAATACATATAAATAATCTCGTACAGGTCAGCATTAACAGATGAACATTTGCAATTGATTTTGATGATAGAGGACACTAACTTTGAACCGCAATTAAGTGAAATGTTATCTCCTAAAAGAGAATTCCATTCTTCTCATTAGTAGGCTTGTATTACAAAAAATTATACTGAATTATTACTGTTATTATAGTGTTTTGAATTTCATCACTAAAAATTGTAGAAATTTGTTTTGTCTTGCTGTATAAGTATCTACATAATATTCTTAATTTTGCCTGTTGGCCCTGAAAGCCTAAAATATATACTGTCTAGGCCTTTACAGAAAAAGTTTACTGACCCCTGCTTTACAGTAAATCAAGACATTTTATTCTGCATAGTTGTATGCCTGCAAATATTAGCAGAATTCGTGCTTTCAAGCCATTTGTCTCACAATGACTGGAAAAGATAATTTATGGAGCGGCTGTCTTTCTGCTGGGTTTATTAATTAGAGCTTATTCAATGTACTATGACTTTATTGTTTTGTGTTAATGTAATAATTTGAAGAAGATTCTTTCCACAGTTATCCTGTATTCTGTGGATAGGTTTTCTGAACACTGAAATTACCTACTGTCTTAGTCATCTAGTGCTGCTATAACAGAAATACCACAAGTAGATGGGTTTAACAAAGAGAAATTTATTTTCTCACAGTCTAGTAAGCTAGAAGTCCAAATTCAGGGCACAGGCTCCAGGGGAAGGCTTTCT